CTAACCCCAGAAACCACTAAACAGCTCATCCACTCCCTCATCATATCACGACTCGACTACTGCAACTCCCTCCTCACTGGTCTGCCTCGCCGCTGGCTATCCCCCCGCTCCAGTCGATCCTGAATACAGCTGCCAGACTCATTCACCTTTCCAACCACTCTGTCTCCGCCACCCCCCTCTGCCAATCCCTCCACTGGCTTCCGATTGCGCAACGGATCAAATTCAAAAACCTAACGCTGATGTACAAAGCTGTCCACCATACTGCCCCAAACATCACTGACCTAATATCCAAGTACCGCCCAGCACGCACACTCCGCTCCTCACAAGACCTCCTTCTCTCTAGTTCCCTGGTCTCCTCCTCCCATGCCCGCCTCCAGGACTTCTCCAGGGTGTCACCCATCCTCTGCAACTCCCTGCCCCAACCCATCAGATTATCACCTACCCTCCTCTCCTTTAGGCGCACCCTGAAAACCCATCTCTTCAGGGAAGCCTACCCCACCCCCTGCTAACTTGCCGACCTCCTCCACTCTTCCTACCATTCCATCCCCCACAGCTATCTCCTCCTGTGCCACCATCCCCTCCCTCCTAGATTGTAAGCTCGAAAGAGCAGGGCCCTCGATCCCCTCATGTTTTGCATTGTATTGGTATTGTTCTGTCACATGTTCTGTCCCCCTCTGTAATGTATAGCGCTGAGCGAACTATTGGCGCTTTATAAATACTGTATAATAATAATAATAATACTCTAAAGAGGTTACAATCTAACAAGGTGGGGCAAGTGGTACAAAAGGGTATAACTGCGGAGGATGAGCTGATGGAAGTGATAAATGTCTATTTGGAGGAGTGACAGGCTTCCCTAAAGAGATGAGTTTTCACAGATTGCCTAAAGGCAGCCAGAGTTGGGGATAGCCGGAGAGATTGATGTAAAGAGTTCCAGAGGATGGGAGAGGCTCTGGGGGAAGTCCTGGAGACGAGTATGGGAGGAGGAGACAAGGAAGCTTGAAAGCAAGAGATCATGAGAGGAACGGAGAGGATGGTTTGGGTGATACTTGGCAACAAGATATATATATATATATATATATATATATATATATATATATATATATAGTTTCTTTCTTTTCTATTTTTGGAAGACAAAGTAAGGATAACAAAGCCAAACAACAAGGGTGGGAGGTACTCATTCTCTACTGAACATGTGCAGACTGAAGGGACCAGCAAATCATGAGGCACTACATAAAAGCAGACCCCTCCTTCTTACAATCTCCACCAATAACCTGACATCTAATTCACATCATCCTTTTCCTCCAACCTTTGCCCACACGCTTAACCCTTTTGTCACCAATTGCTATCCCGAAGGACTGTCATCAGTCATGATGCCTGCTGTGTTTATAACACAGGGCATTGCTTTATATTCTATTCTTTTATGTTCTATTGTATTCTTTTATATTGTAGTCTATTCTGTTTTATTATATTCTATTTTTTCGAAATTCGAATTTCAGAAGACAGCTATATACACACAAATACAGACAGTCTTTGAAGGAAATCAGCAATAGTCAGCAATATATTCATATTTTGAATTTGTTTTGTTATTTTGGATTCATTTAAATTCATTGCTTTTGTAACTTGGAAATTTGGATACATCAGAATAATGAAAAATTTGTCCGAATTTCGATTCAGAACTAACTAACAAACTGCACATGTCTAGTGCAGATACTCCTGGCAGATAAACTGAGAGAGATAACAAGAATATATGCCAACAGAGATGCTCAGGATGTCATTAGGACAGAAAAAGAGAGTATAACTAGATGCAGAATAGGTGCAGGCAATAACCAAAGCATTTTTGGACATCGACAAAAGTGGGCATGATCAGTGAAGTGTGAGTTGCTTGATGGGGTATGGCGTGTAGTGTTGCACCTTCCCCCTTTACTATGCTTTAGGCTAAATATGGCCTGGAGGTACACTGAAAAGAAAGTGGAAGTTAAATAAGCCCAACGTTGGTGTCAGTGGAAGCAATATTTACCCCCAACATAGGTGTCCATGGGAATAGTAACCTCCAGCATTGGTTTCAGTAGCAGCAATTAAAACTCCTGCAATGGTGTAAGTGGCATCGCTATTTAACACCAAGCAGTATTGGTGGTCTGCGGCAGTGATATTTACCCCCTTCCATTGGTAGTAAGTAAAGGTTAAATCTAATCTCTCAATTTGAAGTTAGTATGGAGTACCAGCCCCTTCTAATACCGTCAGGGGAAAAGACGAGGAAGCCCGGGCAGATGCGCCAATGCACAATATGACCGCGCCAATTCTCTCAAAGAAGTGCGCATGCTCATAGGTGGGCAGCACGTAATCACGCATTCCTGTACACAAAAACACACCAGCATATGCAGGGTGCACTAATTGCTAACACTCAGTGGCCTATAAAAGGACTGCAGCTCTGACCAGTTATTGCTGGATTATCATCAGCCCCTCCTGTTCCTGTGTTCCTGAGTTTACTGCTGATTACCCATTACCGACCCGGCTTGATCCTGACCTTGTACCTGTCTGCTGCTCTGTGTATGACCCCAGCTTGCTCCTGACCTTGCTCCTGTCTGCTGCTCTGTGTTTGATCCCGACTTGCTCCTGATCTTGCTCCTGTCTGCTGCTCTGTGAATGACCCCGGCTTGCTCCTGATCTTGCTCCTGTCTGCTGCTCTGTGTATGACCCCGGCTTGATCCTGACATTGCTCCTGTCTGCTGTTCCATATTGACCCTGGCTCTGGCTACTAACTACTCTACCCATCCTCCGGGATCCACGTGTTCTCTGGAGAAACTCCTCCTGCAACCAGAGCACCCCACGGGTTCCATCTCATCAAGCATCTCCAAGCAGCAACAGTACTGGCAACCCATACTTCTTTGGGCACTGCACCTCCTGTTTCCACCTCCAGGGGCACACTGCACTTAGCCGTAAGAGGAGCCCTCTCTTTATTGCAGCCTCCGGACAGGTACGTGACAAATACATAAAAAAGGCTTAGTTGATATACTTTGACTTTTTTTTTAAGTTGCATAGATTTTTCTTTCTTACATTTTCACCAGTCAAAAAAGGGACACAATGTTGCAAGTACTGTGCTATATATATTAGTATGGGGTTTCATAAATTCACGAAAACTGGAGAAATACAAATTAGAGCCAAATTGGAGTTGTTGCAATGAGAATTCTTGTTCATTTTTTCCAAAAATTGAAAGATGAAACCTCATTCGATGCTATTGGCAAAAAGTCCAATTTTGTGCACATTTTCTCGTCTCCTGTTTTTTGTCTTTTTGACATCATGTTGTGCTAATTAAAAACATATTTGATAAATGTCTATTATTTATTGGTTTAAATGTAGCATCAACAACAAATAAGCTGTTTACATGGACCATTCTCATCAGTTATTGTTCCCCTGGAGCTTACAATATTATGTCTCTGCCACATTCATGGTATCCACACCTGTGCACCAAAAGTTATATTTTCCATACGTTCCTGACAGCTGTGCTTGATGCTTGCTGTGCAAGCCTTGTAGGGAGCCAAACATTTCAATACACATGAGTGTTTGAAGAGATTTAAGGGAATATATTGTTTACAGACCACAAAGACATTTTTTAAAAGGTAGACATGGCTGCATTTTATTCAGTCAAGAGCATCCCACTACTTATTAAGCTTTTTTTTTGCACGAAAGAGGTTCAAATAACACAAAACAATATGTAGGCACAAATGATATTTTTATTATTACCAGCCAAAAATAATTTCACTTTTATGATCCAATGCATGCATTTATCAGCAGAAAAATGCTAGCAAAATATATTATGGATCTATATTATTATATTATTGTTCTTCTATCCTTCACATATGTAATATTTTATTAAAGAAAATCCCAGATGGGCTTAGAATGTATTAAACAAAAAAGGGTAACATGATTATGTGTTGTGTTTATTTTAAAACAAATGACCACATGTGCATATTTTTACATGGAGTGAAATTAATATTTCTGAACATTGGAGTGCTTCATTGTTTTTATACTGCAACCTTGCCAGCAAACCATACGACATTTCATTGCTTCCTCTGGATGTGATCATACTCTACTTTCCTTGTCCCATAACAGTTTAAAAAGAATAATAAACACAAAAATGCAGATGTCTTCCCATCCTACTTGAGCACCTGACAAAAAGTTGGTTGAGACATGCCAGATGCAGTAGCGGGAAGATTCTGAACTGGTCCAACGGCCAAGCAAAATAAAGTCAATAATAGTTAAAGTTAAAAAAGAAAGCGGATGGGTTGTTAATCCATGTCTTTGATATATTTTTTTCATAATTTTTAGTATTTGCAGTTAAACTGAGAGAAGTGTGGGGCCTGCCACTGCTGGCTTCCATTTGAAAATGCTAGTTGCTTGGCTGTGTATGATTTTAGTACTTTTAACCCAGAGCCAATATCAGTGAATGAGTGTAGGAAAAGTGTCAAAATTCTTAATCTAAGTATATTCTTCTGTGGGTCAGTGACTTGGACAACACTGAAGCTACATATCAGCCTTTTTACTAGTGGTTCAGACCTCAAATATAAGGAGGACTTACAGCACTTTAGGGACAGATCCCGAATGGATGGAGGGTAACAGCACTCAACCCCAGACTGCAAAAATGGCATAGCACCCAATTTTTCTGAAGAACATTGCTCAGATCTCTGCTAGATGGATAGATCACACATAATGTACATTGGGCAACATCATTCACACCTTCTCCTCTGAAGCAATACTGGAACTGACAGAGGAGAAGATGTGAATGATACTGTCCAATATACACTACATTGCCAAAAGTATTGAGACACTTCTCCAAATAATTGGATTCAGCTGTTCCAATCACCTCCATGGCTACAAGTGTATAAATTGCAGCACCTAGGCATGCAGACTGATTCTGCAAACATTTGTGAAAGAATTGCTCGCTCTCAGGAGCTCAGTGAATTCAAGCGTGGCACCGTGATAGGTTGCCACTTGTGCAATAGGTCCATATGTGAAATTTCCTTGCTACTAAATATTCCACGGTCAACTGTTAGTGGTATTATAACAAAGTGGAAGCAACTTGGAACAACAACAACTCAGCCACCAAATAGTAGGCCACGTAAAATGACAGAGCGGGGTCAATGCATGCTGAAGTTCACAGTGCGCAGAAGTCGTCCACTGTCTTCAAAGTCAATAGCTAAAGGCCTCCAAACTTCATGTGACCTTCAGATTAGCACAACAACAGTGAGCAGAGATCTTCATGGAATGGGTTTCCATGGCTAAGCAGCTGCATCCAAGCCTTACTTCATGAAGTGCAATGCAAAGCGTTGAATGCAGTGGTTTAAGCACACCACCACTGGATTCTAGAACAGTAAAGACGTTTCTCTGGAGTGACGAGTCATGCTTCTCTGTCTGGCCATTCGATGGACATGTCTGGGTTTGGTTGTTGCTAGGAGAATGGTACTTGCCTGACTGCATTATGCCATATGTAAAGTTTAGTGTAGGGGGGATTATGGTGTGGGGTTGTTTTTCAGGAGTTTGGCTTGGCCCCTTAGTTCCAGTGAAGGGAACTCTTAAGGCATCAGCATACCAAGACATTTTGGACAATTTCATGCTCCCAACTTTGTGGGAAGAGTTTGGGGATGGCCCCTTCCTGTTCCAACATGACTACGCACCAGTGCACAAAGCAAGGTCCATAAAGTCACGGATGAGCAAGTTTGGGGTGGAGCAACTTGACTGGCCTGCACAGAGTCCTGACCTCAACCTGATAGAACACCTTTGGGATGAATTAGAGCGGAGACTGCGAGCCAGGCCTTCTTGTCTAACATCAGTGCCTGATCTCACAAATGCGATTCTGGAAGAATGGTCAAAAATTCCCATAGACACACTCCTAAACCTTGTGGACAGCTTTCCCAGAAGAGTTAAAGCTGTTGTAGCTGCAAAGGGTCGGGACAACTCAATATTGAACAATACAGACTAAGACTGGGGTGCCATTAAAGTTCATGTGTATGTAAAGGCAGGTGTCCCCATACTTATGGCAATATAGTGTATATTAATGAGCTATCCATCTACTGGGGATCTGAGCAGTGATCCTTAGAAACATTGGGTGCTATGTCATTTTTGCAGTTGGGTTTTAGTGCTGTTACCATCCATCCATTTGGGATCTGTCCCTGTAAGTCATCCTTATATTTGAAGTCTGAACCTCTGGTATGTGGATGTGTGTATTAATGGAAGCTGGTGCACTATAGTGGTGTGGGTCACGAAAAAATAATTTAATTTTATGGTGGACCTTTTACAAATTTGGGACTCGTATGCTTTGGATTATGTACATATATATATATTATGTAACATATATATATATATAAATACTGTTCCCCTCCCTCCTTTTTGTGTTGTGTTAATATTTCGAAAGAGCAGGGCCCTCGAACCCCTTTGCTGTATGCACTAGGATATTGTATTATTTTACTGTACTGTCGCATTATTGCTGTCCCCCTTTGTAATGTACAGCGCTCAGTGAACTGTTGGCGCTTTATAAATACTGTATAAACTAATAATAATAAAAACATATATCCAAATCATAATATATATCACAGCTAATCACAACACTATAAATCAGTTTCACAATAAATAATACCAGTCAGTTTCATTGCCCAGAGTAGTCAATAAACATATCCATGGCAGGGATACAGAACTCCAGCTAATGCGTTTCACGCTCCACTTGCGCTTAGTCATAGTGATGATACTGGCTCATGTGAAAAAAAAAATTTGAGTCGAAAGGCTTATTTTGTAACTAAAGGAGATTTCTGCGTCTTGCTGCATAAGCATGTCACCTTCCTAAATAAGTGTTTTGCTGTTGTAACAGTGAAATATGGAGGCCCACTAAAGATATTGTTTCATTTGACCCTCTAACATATTAAAGGGGTTTATATTGGAAGAGATACAGAGGCTGCCATTGCTGGCCTAGAGCAAGTACGCAGGTCAGGGAAGTGAGAAGTCTTAATCTGCATGCTGTTTCAGTTCAGTGATCAAGAACTAATATTACAGAAGGGAAGATTTAAAAAATGGCAGCCTCCTTTTAGACAATTATAACCAAAACAGGTGTCCCCATTTGGAAGATTCTTCCTCACCTCCAGTTCCTGTGGCAAAATTTTGTATTTATTATCTCTTTATATTCTAAAGACAATGATCTCCAAGTCAAATAGAGAGGGGTCAATCTCCTCAGTGGGGTCAAAATATAAAATAAATTGGGTTTCTTTACTGTATCCAGAACTAAAATAAATAAAATGTTTTGGCTATACATATCATTTCAAACAACCCCAGAATAGAGAGCATAATGGTAGGAAAAAGTTATCATTGCTAATGATTACAATTTTGCAGCATTATTTAATTGCAGTGCTTGTCCTGTTAGATAATGCTGTGCTGGTTCAGAACTGTGTAAGTTTCAGGACTGAATTTACAGAAATATAAATCTATAGACAGGTAAATCAATTCCTATAAATGCCATTATCTGCGTATTTACAGGTGAAACTCGAAAAATTTGAATATCGTGCAAAAGTTCATTTATTTCAGTAATGCAACTTAAAAGGTGAAACTAATATATGAGATAGACTCATTACATGCAAAGCAAGATAGTTCAAGCCGTGATTTGTCATAATTGTGATGATTATGGCTTACAGCTCATGAAAACCCCAAATCCACAATCTCAGAAAATGAGAATATTGTGAAAAGGTGCAATATTCTAGACTCAAAGTGTCCCACTCTAATCAGCTAATTAAGCCATAACACCTGCAAAGGGTTCCTGAGCCTTTAAATGATCTCTCAGTCTGGTTCAGTAGGAATCACAATCATGGGAAAGACTGCTGACCTGATAGTTGTGCAGAAAACCATCATTGACACCCTCCATAAGGAGGGAAAGCCTCAAAAGGTAATGGCAAAAGAAGTTGGATGTTCCCAAAGTGCTGTATCAAAGCACATTAATAGAAAGTTATGGGGAAGGGAAAAGTGTGGAAGAAAAAGGTGCACAAGCAGCAGGAATGACCGCAGCCTGGAGAGGATTGTTAGGAAAAGGCCATTCAAAAGTGTGTGGGGACTTTCACAAGGAGTGGACTGAGGCTGGAGTCAGTGCATCAAGAGCCATCACACACAGACGGATCCTGAACACATGGGCTTCAAATGTCGTATTCCTCTTGTCAAGCCGCTCCTGAACAACAAACAACGTCAAAAGCGTCTTACCTGGGCTAAAGAAAAACAGACCTGGTCTGTTGCTCAGTGGTCCAAAGTCCTCTTTTCTGATGAGAGAAACTTTTGCATATCATTTGGAAACCAAGGATCCAGAGTATGGAGGAAGAATGGAGAGGCACACACTGCAAGATGCTTGAAGTCCAGTGTGAAGTTTCCACAGTCTGTGTTGATTTGGGGAGCCATGTCATCTGCTGGTGTTGGTCCACTGTGCTTCATTATGTCCAGGGTCAACGCAGCCGTCTACCAGGAGATTTTGGAGCACTTCATGCTTCCTTCCGCAGACGAGCTTTATGGGGATGCTGACTTCATTTTCCAGCAGGACTTGGCACCTGCCCACACTGCCAAAAGCACCAAAACCTGGTTCAATGACTGTGGGATTACTGTGCTTGATTGGCCAGCAAACTCGCCTGACCTGAACCCTATAGAGAATCTATGGGGCATTGCCAAGAGAAAGATGAGAAACATGAGACCGAACAATGCAGAAGAGCTGAAGGCCGCTATTGAAGGATCCTGGTCTTCCATAACACACCTCAGCAGTGCCACAGGCTGATAGCTTCCATGCCACGCCGCATTGAGCCAGTAATTGCTGCAAAAGGGGCTCAAACCAAGTACTGAGTACATATGCATGCTAATACTTTTCAGAGGTCTGATATTGTTCTATGTACAATCCTTGTTTTATTGATTGCATGTAATATTCTAATTTTCTGAAATGTGGATTTGGGATTTTCATGAGCTGTAAGCCATAATCATCACAATTCTGACAAACCACGGCTTGAACTATCTTGCTTTGCATGTAATGAGTCTATCTCATATATTAGTTTCACCTTTTAAGTTGCATTACTGAAATAAATTAACTTTAGCATGATATTTTAATTTTTCGAGTTTCACCTGTAGTTCTCATGCACACTGGACATTTTTACAGCTGCTGTTTTTGGCTTTTGATGTTTTTTTCTACAGCCAGTAAATTCCCCAGCGTGTTATCCTATGTATTCATGCACACATAGACTGTAATCAATGTTTTTTGGCAGGCACGTTTTTTGGCTGGAGAAAAAAACCCAGGACTAGTGGGTTTCTAGCGGAGTTTTTTTAGCTGTAAAAACGCTCTAATGATGAAAAACACAGCAAAATGAGGTAAAACATGGCAAAACGCTGCAAACTGGCATTTGTGGACTTTTTTGACCAAAAAAAAAAGCTAAGAAATGCTAAAAAAACACAAACGTGGCAAAACGCAGAAAAACCCTGCTAAACGGTAATGCAAAAATTATTTTAAAAAGCTGAAAAAAACTCACGTTTTTTTAACGTGACTTTACACAGCTAACGTTACCATTAGGTGTTTGCTTGTGGTTCCTGTTTAAGAGCATATGTACAACATCACCACACATTCCCTTTAGTAATAATGTTTTGCTCTTGGAAGTTGTACTTACAGAAGTAAAAAATTTCCCTGTATAATGTGGATCATTATATACTATCCATGACATTTAGTCAGTAACCATTTAGGAGTAATTACTGCAAAACACCCTTTATGGAAGGATAAAAACATTTACTGACGTATCTCTCTGTGACCCCTCTCTGGGGTGCAGCATGAAAAGTTAAAATATGTCAAACATTTGACTGCATTTAGTCTGGTTGCATGATGAAGAAAGATGGTTTAATAAAGAAAGTAATTAAGAAGCTGCAATTAAGCCTCTGAGCGAAACATTTGTCTGTAATTTACAGGTGCAATTCTATGCTTGTTTGGTTTCTGAGTGCCAAATAACTTCTAGCCAATTTTATATTGATTTAATAATCGTGTATGCCTATTATATCATCTAGGGAAAAGCTGTCCTTGCCAGTTCAGCCAGAAGGAAAAATGTAAGAACATTTTTGAAGTATTTTACTCAAAATATCTTCCTAAATACATATGATAAAAAAAAATATCAATGTATTTACTATTTAACATACTGTTACAAAAATGTACATTAAAGTGTCAGCAAACCAAAAAACGTTATCGTTGATCCTGCCATTCACTAGTACATTTTCCTTCTTGGAGGCAATGGGGTTGA